TATCGAGTTGAATTTGCTCTTGATGGTTTTGACACCATTTTAGTTTGCTCTTAAATATTTTACGTGTTATGCACATATCGTCATATATAGGCCCACTAGTTGGTTTGTTATGCCACAACCATAAGCGATATTTAAACCTAGCCATCGCATGTGCTTCCCTCACATGTCTGTTCCAACCTACAATACGACCACTATGCTTATAACTTCTATTATCATCATAACTCTGTATAGCGGCCTCAGATAAAATAGTAACAATATTGTTGTACATTTCATCAAGCATTAACCTATGATGAGTATTGTTACAGTGTGAATTATAACATATGCTAAGTTCCTCAGGTACCTTAAGCGATATTAATTTGCTATTACACATATCATAATATACTTCAATCCGATCACTGACCCTTTCGCCCCATATTACTTTGTTACATGATTTTGTCGCAACTTCTAATTTAGTTTTAATAGTGTCTAACCTGCACTCAACAACAAAGGGGCAATGATCAGACCAGAATACATCATAAAATATTCTTATGTTAGTTATAGTGTGCCAAGCAGCTTGTGTGACAATGCAATGGTCAAGCCATCGTCTACAGCCATGTGCATCACTGACAAATGTATAGTTATCAGATTCTACACCTAACTTTTCAATGTCTGCACAAATCCAATTTTGTTCAGAACAGAATTTTAAAAGTTCAAGTCCAAAAGACTCACCAGGATGAGCATTAAAATCACCAAGGACGTACACTGCCTCCACGTCACAACTTTCGACTATCGCGCTTACCTCACTAAGACAGTCAGTGAATTCTGTTAGGTTATCACTCACGTCTGTCGGCATATATACACAAAACACTAAAAAGTATCTGTCACCTAATACTGATAATATAGACGCCCAGATATCAGAACGAACTGATTTTGAATCCCTGTATTTTAAATCGCTTTCTCTTGCAAAAAGGATCTTAGCAGATTGCATTAAGTCAGATGACGTAAGCAGTGACGGTGGCTCTCATTCCGGCAATCATAAATTTGTTAAACTGCCCACTATTCAACTACCTAAATTTAATGGTTCTTATGATAATTGGTTAGAGTTTCATGACACGTTCATGAGCCTCATACATTCAAATGACGAGATAGATGACATAAATAAGTTTCACTATCTGAGAGCGTCGTTGGAAGGGCCCGCTGCTGTGGTAATACAGTCAATCGAATTCTCGGCAGCTAATTACACCGTCGCATGGACTATATTATGTGATAGATATGATAATAAAAGACTACTAACTCAAAATCACGTGACAGCCTTATTTAATATAGCACCAATTAATAAAGAATTGTCTGTCAACTTAAAACGTCTTATTGACCAAATAAATAAAAATTTACGTGCACTAGAATCTCTCGGTGAGCCAACTAAACAATGGGACACACTTCTCATTCATATTATTACTCAAAAATTAGATGCTAAGACATATCGTGAATGGGAAGAGTCTAAAGGTCGTTTGGAGAAAGATACACCTATTACGTTCGATATATTTTTGATGTTTTTAAAAAATCGAGCCGATTTAATCGAAACACTAGAAATGTCTAATTCTGGTGCTACTAACCGTTTAAATTCTTCTATAAAATATGCTCCAAAAGTTAAGGCAATGGTTTCAGTGCGGGATACCGGTAATAAAAACGGTTCGGCCTTTTCCGCCAAACTGTGTCCTAAATGTAAGGGTGACCATAAGTTAAGCAGTTGTCCTCAGTTTCTTGGATTAAGTAACGATGTGCGTCTACAGTTACTGCCAGAGTATAAAGTATGTTTCAATTGTCTTAATTCAGGACATTATACAAATCACTGCAAAAAGCCAGGATTCAAAATATGCCACCGAAAGCATAACACTCTCGTGCACGTCGCAGATTACCAGTCAAAACCAATTACAGATATTAATACATCTAACACGAGTAGTGGTAATAATAAGCCCGTTATGCAAGGTCATTTCGAACAAACAAACAGTTCGACAGGCTCACAGTTGTCATCCAATTCTAACGCACATCTGTCATTATCCGCAAAGGTAGGCACTGCATCGTGTAGTGAACAAGGCGACGTATTGTTATCGACGGCATTAATTAAAGTTATAGGTAAGAATGGTTGTCCATATATTGCTCGTGCTATTCTTGATAGTGGCAGTAACGCTTGTTTAATAACTGAAGAGTTATATCAAAGGCTAGGTTTGCCCGCTCAAAATGTAAATCAGTCGGTAGTCGGTATTAATAATGCTTCGGCACACATCAAGAAGATTTGTAAGGTATCGATAAAATCATTGAATGATAACTTCTCTAGTAATCTTCATTGTTTTGTCCTACCATCAATAACCCAAAATGTACCTACTAGATATGTTAATTTGTCAAACTTAAAAATTCCATCTAATATTTCTCTGGCAGATCCTAATTTTCACTCACCTGCTCCCGTTGACATGCTTATAGGTGCTGATGTCTTTTGGGACTTAATAGGAACGCAGAGATTAAAATTAGGGGACGGTCAGCCGATTCTTTGTGAAACTAGCTTAGGATGGTTAGTATCAGGTCCGATAGATTATAGATATGTAAAGAAAGGGGTTAACTTTATTAAATGTAATTTTACAAGAATATTTCAAGATGAGGCTAGTAAAGATTTAGATGAAGATATACAAAAACAATTAGTACGCTTCTGGCACCTCGAAGAGGTAAGCCCTGCGTCTCTTTATTCAAACGAAGAAAAATTATGCGAAGAACACTTTTTAAAAAACACCACGCGACTGGCAAATGGTCGATTTTGCGTGAGGATACCCTTAAAACATAATCCTGACGTATTAGGTGATTCTTGGCCACGAGCTAAAAAGTGTTTACTATCGCTAGAGCGCAGGTTAGCAGGTCAATCTCAGGTCTATGAAATGTATAAAGAATTTATGTCAGAGTATGAAAGTCTGGGTCATATGGAGAAATGTGAGAATGATAATTTACCACGTAAGATGCATTTTATACCACATCACGGTGTGCTTCGGGAAAGTAGTACTACTACTAAATTAAGAGTCGTTTTCAATGCTAGCAGTCGGACTTCTTCGGGCGTTTCCTTGAATAATATACAGATGGTAGGTCCCGTGGTACAGGACGACCTTTTGTCCATTCTTTTACGCTTTCGGCTACACAAATACGTTCTCACAGCTGATGTTGAGAAAATGTACCGGCAAATAGTCATTCATCCCGATGACCGCTATTTGCAACAAATTGTCTGGCGTGATAACCCTTCAGAACAGCTTCAAGCTTATCAACTTAACACCGTGACTTACGGCACCTCTAGTGCTCCCTTTTTGGCAACTAGGTGCCTCCAACAATTAGGCTTAGAGTGTACCGATGACAAGGTTGCTCAAGTGATCATTCACGATTTTTACGTTGATGACTTGCTAACGGGAGGGGATGATATTAACGAGGTTACAGATTTGCGCCGTAAAGTGACTTCCACACTTGCATCAGCTCATATGGTTTTGCGAAAGTGGAAGTCGAATGAATCTCAACTGGTTAGTGAAAATGATATTTCTCCGCTTGATTTGAATATTGGTGGCTTTGAACCGACTAAAACTTTAGGCCTTGGTTGGCAATCACATACTGACCAACTTTGTTTCCCTATAGGAGGGCTACTCTCAGGTAGAACAAAGCGTGATATGTTATCTGTGATTTCTCAGATTTTTGATCCACTAGGACTTCTATCTCCCTGTGTAATTAAGATGAAAATGCTTCTTCAACAGTTGTGGCTGCTCAAGCTGTCATGGGATGAGCAGTTGACGCCAGAAATCAGCAAGATGTGGGCTGAGATAATAGTCGATTTACCTAAATTAAATACTCTACGTATTCCACGTCGTGTTATTTGTGACTCGCCTAGTTTGTTTGAATTTCATATTTTCTCGGACGCTTCTGAGCGAGCATATGGCGCCTGTTTATATGTGCGTAGTGTTAATGATCAGGGTGAGGTTTTAATTCAATTATTGATGGCGAAAAGTCGTGTCGCGCCGCTTAAACCTATAACAATCCCAAGACTGGAACTTTGTGGTGCACTTGTTGGAGCTCGCCTTTACCAAAAGGTTGTAGCATCGCTGAGACAACAGGCTAAGCGCACTTTCTTTTGGACAGATTCGTCCATCGTGTTAGGATGGTTAAAGGTGTTACCTAGCAAGCTACAACCCTTTGTCAGAAATAGAGTTGCTGAAATATTAGAGAAGACTGGAAATTGCGAGTGGAGGCATGTCCCAACAGAGTGTAATCCGGCCGATCATATTTCTCGCGGTGTGAGTTGTAAGGATATTTCATCCATGAGTAAGTGGTGGTCAGGACCTGAATTTTTAAAGAAAGAGGTCTCTCACTGGCCTGCAAATTTCTTAAGTATTAATCACGAGTTGCCTGAGATTAAATCGTCAAATGTTATCCTCCACGGAATACTTCATTCTAGCAACAATGAAGATTTAGGTGGGAATAAATTAATTGAATTTAAACGCTTTTCTAAATATACTAGATTAAATCGGACCGTTGCTTATGTGCTGCGTTTTATTAATAATTGTAGAAAGCAATCCGTTCACGGTCCTCTAAGCAATCAAGAGTTGCAAACCGCACTCAATGTTATTATAAGAATATCTCAGAGTGAATCATTTGAGGAACACACCATGTTAATTAAAAATAAAAGTTTACCCACTAAAAGTCCGTTGCATAAATTTAATGTATTTCTCGATGATAATAAAATAATGCGTGTTGGAGGGCGTCTTGAAAATTCCGATTACTGTTATGAGAAAAAACATCCCATACTTATACAGTCCACTCATTATTTTACCAAATTGCTCCTCAATTATGAGCACATAAGGTTAATGCACGCGGGACCACAGCTAATGTTGGCCACTATAAGAGAGATGTACTGGCCGATTAGAGGTCGTAATTTGGCCAGATCTTGTTATCGACAATGTGTAAGATGTAATAGAATGAAAGGAAAAACCATCTCTCCAATAATGGGCAACCTACCACACCAACGCATCCTTTCTGGTTTTCCATTTCAAAATATTGGACTAGACTATGCGGGACCAATTCAATCTGTTTCTCGCCATGGCCGTGGTTGTAAAATTGTAAAGGTGTATATAGCTATTTTTATTTGCTTCGCGACTAAGTCAATTCATCTTGAATTAGTGGGTGATTTAACTAGCAATACCTTCATATTAGCTTTGCGCAGATTTATGTCTAGAAGAGGGAAACCTCTTAATATTTATTCGGATAATGGTACCTCCTTTGTAGGCGCATACAATGACATTTCAAAATTTATTAGGACGTATTGTAATTCTTTATCTGAGGTAATGGCAAATGAAGGAATTAATTTCCATTTCATACCGCCTTATTCTCCCCATTTTGCTGGGCTTGCGGAGGCTGGTGTCAAATGCATTAAATATCATTTAGTTAGAGTGCTGGGCAATTGTAATGTGACTTACGAGGAACTAAATACCACATTAATACAAATTGAGGCTATACTTAACTCCAGACCACTCACACCTTTGTCAACGAATCCTGAAGACTTGCTACCACTAACGCCCGGTCATTTTTTGATTGGACGCCCCTTGACTTCCTTGCCGACACCAGACTATAAAGATCATTCCGTAAGCTCTTTAACCCGATTTCAACGAATAGAACAATTACGTCAACATTTTTGGGCTAGATGGAGCAAGGAATATATATCAGAGCTTCAACTGCGGATGAAATGGCGTTCCTGTAAAGGCTCTTTGAAGTTAAATTCACTGGTACTCCTAAAAGAGGAGAATTCACCGCCATTAAAGTGGAAGATGGGTCGCATCGTCGCAGTCCATCCAGGCTCGGACGGCGTATCAAGGGTGGCGGATATCAAAACATCGACTGGTATAGTTCGCCGATCATTTAGCAAAATTTGTCCGCTTCCTGAACCTGAAGAATCTGGTTGAAAGGTAGACTTTCAACGCCGGGGGGCATGTTGAAGCGCCTGTCAAATTATATTAGCAGTTCTCATGCCAATATTAGTCCGTAAGCTGTGTAGGTATGTTTAAAAAATGTTGTACCGGTCGTCGTTGTAAAATTTAGAGATCAAGTAAAGGTCGATTGAGCAAATTACTGCATTTTATTATTAAAAAGAGATCAAATTCCTATTCAGCTTGTAAACACGATAACTTTTGAAAATATCAATAGTTCAATTCAATCTATTTTTAAAACTCTTCATCTATCATGTGGGAAGCCATTGAATGTAAATGGCAGTTTAATTTTGTTTAGTATAGTTATAATTTTTTTTTCTGCTGCGAAATGGCGAAATTTTCGTTGTATTCGGCAGCCAAAAAAAAAGTCGCCGTCGTGAGTGGACATTGTTTCGGTTGTTTGCAGCGGCTCAAAAAGATCGCTGTACAAATACACAATATTTTAATAACCAATTTCTTAAATATTTGATTATAACCATAATAAGAGATTTTTTTATTACAATATTTTAAAAGCACAGAATAAATAATAGTAGTACGTACTAAAAGTAAGTAGTATCAAGTTTTACGTCATGGGTGTCATTTTCATGGTTTTCGAGGGTGTTGAAGCCGATAGGGTTGTCGACATGTAAATCCAAGATCGCGGCTGCAATAGGTATCAATTTTTTCATCATGGGTGTAATTTTTATGGTTTTCAAGGGTGCTAGAGCCGATAGTGCTATTGAAATGTAAATCCAAGGTGGCGGCTGCAATAGGTATCAATTTTTTCATCATGGGTGTAATTTTTATGGTTTTCAAGGGTGCTAGAGCCGATAGTGCTATCGAAATGTAAATCCAAGGTGGCGGCGTCAATAGGTATCAATTTTTTCACCATGGGTGTCATTTTCACGGTTTTCGAGGGCGTTGAAGCCGATAGTGCTGTCGAAATGTAAATCCAAGGTGGCGGCTGCAACAGGTATCAATTTTTTCACCATGGGTGTCATTTTCACGGTTTTCGAGGGTGTTAAAGCCGAAAGTGCTGTCGAAACGTAAATCGAAGGTGGCGGCTGCAACAGGTATCAATTTTTTCATCTTGGGTGTCATTTTCACGGGTTTCGAGAGTTGTGAGGCTGATAATGCTGTCGAAATGTACATCCAAGGTGGCGGCTGCAATAGGTATCAATTTTTTTATCATGGGTGTCATTTTCATGGTTTTCAAGGGTGTTGAAGACGATAGTGCTGTCGAAATGTAAATCCAAGGTGGCGGCTGCAGTATGTATAAATTTTTTCATCATGGGTGTCATTTTCATGGTTTTCGAGGGTGTTCAAGCCAATAGGGTTGTCGACATGTAAATCCAAGATGGTGGCTGCAATAGGTATCAATTTTTTCATCATGGGTGTCATTTTCATGGTTTTCAAAGATTTTGAAGCTGATTGTGTTGTCGAAATGTTAATCCAAGGTGGCGGCTGCAACAGGTATCAATTTTTTCATCATGGGTGTCATTTTCATGGTTTTCGATGGTGTTAAAGACGATAGTGCTGTCGAAATGTAAATCCAAGGTGGCGGCTGCAAAATGTATCAATTTTTTCATCATGGGTGTCATTTTCATGGTTTTCGAGGGTGTTGAAGCCGATAGGGTTGTCGACATGTAAATCCAAGATCGCGGCTGCAATCGGTATCAATTTTATCATCATGGGTGTAATTTTTATGGTTTTCAAGGGTGCTAGAGCCGATAGTGCTATCGAAATGTAAATCCAAGGTGGCGGCTGCAATAGGTATCAATTTTTTCACCATGGTTGTCATTTTCACGGTTTTTGAGGGCGTTGAAGCCAATAGAGCTGTCGAAATGTAAATCCAAGGTGGCGGCTGCAATAGGTATCAATTTTTTCATCATGGGTGTCATTTTCACGGTTTTCGAGGGTGTTGAAGCCGATAGTGCTGTCGAAATGTAAATCGAAGGTGGCGGCTGCAACAGGTATCAATTTTTTCATCATGGGTGTCATTTTCATGGTTTTTTAAAGATTTTGAAGCTGATAGTGCTGTCGAAATGTTAATCCAAGGTGGCGGCTGCAATAGATACCATTTTTTTTTCATGGGTGTCATTTTCATGGTTTTCGAGGGTGTTGAAGCTGATAGTGTTGTCGAAATGTAAATCCAAGGTGGCGGCTGCAATAGGTATCAAGTTTTTCACCATGGGTGTCATTTTCACGGTTTTCGAGGGCGTTGAATCCGATAGAGCTGTCGAAATGTAAATCCAAGGTGGCGGCTGCAATAGGTATCAATTTTTTTTCATGGGTGTCATTTTCATGGTTTTCGAGGGTGTTGAAGACGATAGTGCTGTCAAAATGTAAATCCAAGTTGGCGGCTGCAATATGTATAAATTTTTTCATCATGGGTATCATTTTCATGGTTTTCGAGGGTGTTGAAGCCGATAGGGTTGTCGACATGTAAATCCAAGGTGGCGGCTGCAATATGTATCAATTTTTTCATCGTGGTTTTCATTTTCATGGTTTTCTAGGGTGTTGAAGCTGATAGTTCTGTCGAAATGTATTTAAACTACTTTAAAAAATTCCGTAGAATCATGTTATGCGTAATTTTTTTTAATGCGCTTAAGGCATGCCCAATTGGGCTTACCAATTTTTTAAACTAATTGTGGTCCCAATAGCTCGCTGCTCTTTGCACTCTATCTATTTCCTCGGAGAACACAAGCATGACGCTATTTGTGTATGTATTTATATATTTGGTGGTATTTAAAGGGCGCTCCAAAATTTTTGCTGTCATCATCTACTCGTAAACTCGTTACTGTTACCTAATATCATGCTGCGTGCACATGTTTTGAAATACCATCCAGATTGTAACTTTGGATTTATTATGCTCAATTGTTCATGTTTTGATGTAATTCTGTTTAATGTACCTAAATAAATTAAATAATTTAGGAAGATGTCTTAGCGCTAATTTAATAGCGCAGAAACCCATTCAAACCCGCTAGTGCCAAACGCAGCTAATTACGTCCCGATGCCAAACCTCGTGCTGACTCTCCGTAGACCGCGTAACTTACTAATAGAATAACTACGCTCGCTTGATCCAGTCGACCCAAACGTCGCAGGCACATCATACACTGACACTACACCTACACTAAATGGGATAAGCATAAATAGGATAACGTATGGCGCGCGTCGCACCCGTAGGCGACCACGACGCGTTCCAGCACACATCGCGTATACACCGTACACCCTCGTACCTGGTCAGTTCTCACCACCCGGAATATCGAACGACACCAGCTGAGCAGTCAGAGGTGGGGGTTCGCACCCCCCCCCTCGAATATTGGTTGGATGACTCAAAAATAACATCAACAGAGGGGACATGATGATTGGTAACTATACCAATTGGTAAACCATCATCATACTCATACCCATTCTGATTGCCGCCTTTCCACTTTTTAAATAGCTCGCGCTTTTAACACCACTCCACTTTTTAAATTTCCACTTTTAAAATAGCTTTATCTGACACAGGGCTGAAAGGCTCCAAGATAGCCCTGCGTCATATGAATCTGTAAGAGCCGCTTAAGCTAACAACATATCGAAAATAGATTGCACTGTCATTTCTATACCGAGCGGCGCCAAGTGCTCACATATATATATTAATTTAAGTAGCATAATGTAAGCTAAGACACAATATAAGGAAAATATATGTATATTAAAAAAAAACATTAAATAAAGCAAAATGGTCTGAGGGGATGAGGCAGAAACGTTTCTAGAAAGTCACTAGAAAACGTATTAATGTCGCGCCCATTGGCTGGGAATTCATTCGACATTCGGGCCTTACCAAAAAAAGGAAGAACAAAAAAGAAATCGTCTTTTATTCGTTCCGTAAACCCAAGGAAATCTATCTATAACACTAATTATTGCCAATATTTGCAGTGCCCTTGCAGGGTTCTTGTTCTTAACTCCTGGCCCAAAAAGTGATATAAGTCTGTGACACCATAGCTTTTAAACGGGTAAACCGATTAAAGTGCAGATTTTTTAATTTAAAAACAAGAGTTTTGGCGGTGATTCCTATAGATATTGTTTCAAAATCGGTTCTGTCGTTTCAAGGTCATCAGCTGTTTTTGTTTCGGGAGTTTTTAAAATTTTCAATTTAATAATAATGATGTTTAGTTTTGGACTTCGACTTGACGATTTCCAGCCTCGCGAACAAGCCGGTTTCCGAAAAGGTTTTAGCAC